TATTACTCCGTATATCTCACTAAATCCAATTAAAATAATAGGTAAGACTATAATGATGTCATCTGTGTGCATATTTCTGTAGATAATGTTTGTGTGTGATATATACAGTATTTACAATCTGTACTTTGCATGTAGATCACACAGACACAAGTAAGACTGTGATCACCAACCCACATAGTGTGGGTGGGGTGTGTGTGTGTAAAATCTATTTAGGCAAATTAATAGCGTTTGAAGATTACAGACATTCTAAGGGTGAACATTCTGGACAGTGTAAAATTATATTTTTCTGACATTTAAAAAATATTTATGTAGGGTTTTTTTTTCATTTGAGAAGTACCATATCCTTCATTAGAAAAAGCAAAGCAGTTCATGCTTTAATTCACTCACACCTTTCCTTTTTTTAGTTCACTCTGCTTGAGGGTTGTTTGTTTTTTGGTTTTTTTTTTTTAATATTTGGCATTTAAATGATGCTGAGTACCTGTTTGTCTGGTGTGTGATAGACATACTTATTCCTTGCATACATTTGTAAGAAGAACTTGTGATGATTTTTGCCTGAACGTGACCACATTTTCTGCTGTACAAATAATATAAATTAAATATTCTTAATTATTTTAGCTCATGCTAGAAAAGATTCAGGACAAAGGGGAGATTGATGCAGTTTGCCTTACAATGGCCCTACTGATTTCTCTACTGGCCCTTCCTCTGCACATGGTCAATTAGAATTGAAAATCCTGTGCTGATTTCATTCGCTGGAATTTTTAAGCAGGTCAGGAAGAAAGATGTTATTGAAAGGAAAAGTCTCATCTAAATAAGAAAAGAACACGTGGCCATCTGGTCTAACTGTACCATGCGGAAAGTCATTCTGGCTCTGCCGTAGTTTGAGCTTTGCAACAGTTTGCCAAAATATCAAACAGAAATCTGTTTACATTAAAACACTCTGTGCTTTTTATCTATAAAAATGCAATGCACAGTTCTCTTCCTATCTGTAATGCATGAGCTCATTTGACCCTGTTACCTTATTGAGACTGCCTATGTTTCTGGTAGGCTCTGAAGTTACTTCTGCTGTGTAAAGGTGTAAGTGAAACAACCAACCTTTTGAAAGTTTTAGGAGTAATCCGGAGCACTTCATACTTATGACTAAAACTTCCATTTCTGCTTGAACTACGAAAGGCTCAAACAAGCAGATGCAACAGAGGAAGCATGGAGTGAAGAGGGGAGAGTTTAAAAAAAGAAATTAGAACTTGAAGTCTGTGCAAGTAACACCATGGAATTTGCACAAACAATTGGAGGCCATAGGCTAAGAGATGAGCTGTAACAGACATCAAATTTTTAAGGAATGTAGTCATAAATATGCATAAGCTTCCATGACTGCTTTGTTTCAACATCAACAATTTAGAAGTTTAAAGAAGTCAGCAAAAAAACGCAGGTCAGAATTTTTCACATTTAGGTAAATAAACACTTTGCGTAAAAAGCTAAAAGACACAGCTCCAAATCTCAGGTGCCTGGACAAAAGCAGCTGGAGGATAATGCCATATTGGTTAAAGCACCAGGCATTTGTATCTCCTACCTACTTTAGTCAGAGCTGCTGAGCACAAAAAAAAAAAAGAGACCTTACTGAGAGAAGCAGCGTTCACAAAAAAAGAGACCTTACTGAGAGAAGGGAAGAGTGTTGAACAAAACATGGAGACAGGGGCCCTGTATTCATATGCCCAGGTTTAATGCTTAACTCTTATGTGATTAGTCATTACTTTTACATTGACAAACAATATATAAATTGCCAGTTGAAATATCCTTTCTAATACAAGGTAGTGTGTAAATCACTTCTGAAGTTTAGAGGAATTGATTTATGCAGCATTTCAGTCTTTAGGAAAGGGATAAAAATACGATTGTTTATTGTCATTACTTTAAGAAAACAAAAGTCAGCAGTTCAAAATGTAGCTGCAGGCATTATTTTGAAATACATTTGTGAAACATTAAGTGACAAATTTTATTTTTCAAGCATAATATGCCAGGAAAAGTAGAAAGGAAATCAACATGTTAATACTAGTGAACTTGTGCAGGTACATACACATGTGGTTTACAAGTCTATACTTCTCATATATGACCATTGTGTTGAGTTTGCTTGTATATCTCATATAAGGTACACAAAACATTCCTTCAGAAAAGTGGAAAATCCCTTGTTTTACAAAAAATAAGGCAATACTAATTTAACTGCAGCTCTCAACTCATTCTCTTCATTTCTCTGAATTTTCTTTTCTAGAATCTTTACCATGCCTGTGGATATTGTTGCCACTACATGCAACCTTTTGTTTGTATGTGCTGCTATTTGGAAGTTTTTTCTGAGACTAAATTTCTGGGATACCTATGCTGTGTTCCTTTTTTTAGCAGTGTTTATTAGCAATAGTAAAGAAAAAAAGGGTGAAAAAAATCCTATCTTTCTATTAAGATACCTGTGTGACTAAAATATAGTTTAAGCCTCTTCAGGGAGTAAATTAAAAGCAGTGTATGTGTGTGCACGTGCATGAGTGTTTAAAAACATATTTTAAGTCTTTTTCAGACAATGTCCATATTGAAATGCAAAAATTAATCATCATGTGGATCATATCGTAATTTGTACCAGAAGACAATGCAATTTCGAAGAACTTTTAGAAAATAGGTCCCCACGGCATACATTTAAAAATTAAATAGAATAAATGCTTTGAATCTCCCTTTTCCCTGAATGTCTCTGCTAACCCCACCCATAGCCACACCAAACAGAGAGCAACTATTTTGGGGAGTACTGCATTCCCAAGCCCAACTTTCTGGCATGATGATACTGGGCCAGTCAGCGTTCCTCTGGGCTGTGGCAACAGGAAGGCCGGGGGTGCAAGGCCAGCTAACTAGTCCCCTGCCATGCTCCCCTTCTTCGGTTTGAAGACAACCTACTTGCAAAGCATTTCACTATTGCCTTGTTTAAAACTGCCACAAAACTGTCGAGAAGATCTTGCTAATCTCTCTAAACCCAAACATTCGAATATTTCAGTTTGACTACCTTCAGATGTAGGCCTATGTATAGGAGCTGTTTCCCTTTATGTAGTACATTGCATACGTATACAAAATCTCCACATAGTATCTAAGAGGTGCACGGCAATTATGCTAGTGATGCATGAACTTAACATAAAATACTGCATTGACTGTAAAGCTAGAGTAGAAACCACTGTAAAATAGGAAACAGTGGATGCCCCCAGATACATGGTGCTGGGAAGTGTATATGTGCATGTTTTTTACAATAACACGCATATATGTTTACAAAGTTTCTTATTTCATATTTTCTGCAAATCACAATGAAGTTGAAACCGAGCCTGGCCAACATAAGGAGGAAAGGTTTGTGTTTGTCTTTAATCTTTTTGCAGCACAGCTCAGACTTCTGTCTGATCTGCACATAGCAGAGCAAGGGGCTTGCCGTGCATTGCGTGCAGGCTCCTTGATTGTGGAGGGTAAAAAAAAAAAAATCTGGCTGGAATCCAGACAGGCGAGCGCAGTGCTCTGTTGATCATTGTGTCTAGCCTTCAGGTGTCTCAGCTCACAGTGGGCGGCGGTTGGGGGAGGGGGAGATAACAGGAGGGCAGACAAAGAATAAAATGGTGTATTTAAAGAAAAAAAAAAAAAATCATATGAAAAAATTCATGTCAAATGCTTTTTTTTATTAAAAAAAAAAATGCTTCGTTTAACGTTCCTTTCCCCACAGTGGGAGCAAGCAAACTTCTGTCCAGGAAGATTTATTTAAGCTATAATTAGTAGCGTCTGGAGTCTTTCAACAATTTCTTCTTATTGCACTTAATTTTTTTTTTTTTAGAAGAAGTCTGCTCATCTTTCACTCAGAAACAGTTTTCACGTCATGCTTTATTAGAGATCCAGCCCAGCCAGGACCGAGACAGATTTCTATTGTCTTTGCTTTTTCCCTTCTGAGCGTAGTTTTCAGAATCTAACTTTTGGTAGGGGAGGCGGGGGTGGG